GTGGGTCCCTATGGCCCCCAAACTCACTATAGCATGAAATAGAGAAAAATGTAGACCCCCTAACTGGGAAAGGGGGGGTTGGGACACAGGCATCAGGCCAGGCCTGGGCAGTGGCGGGGACCCTGCAGAGGAAGGAGCTAGCAAGGTGCTTCCTCTGGCCTCTGTGCTCAGGGATCACTACTGGTAGAGTTTGGGAAACCTTATGTGGTGCCAGGGATTGAACCTGAGAAAGCCTCATGCAAGTGCCCGACCCGTTGTGCTATCTCCTCTCTAGCCTGGAAGTTTCATAATGTTTGGGACCCGCTCACCAGACAGCCCTGGGGGACCTCGCCCCTCTATGCCTTAGATCCCTCTGCTCTGGCCCTACCCTCCCTGCAGCATGCCCCACACTTCTCTTCCCAAAGTCCAAGTCCGACAAGAACCCTGAGTCTCTCTCACCTGCCAGCTCCCCTCCCTCTTTCCACCCACACCTGGGCACTGTTCTACTCCTTGCCCAAATTATTGAAGTACCTACTCCTGCCCTCCCACTCACTGTCTTCCCTGGCAATGCCAACTAGTGCAGTAGCCAAAAAGTCTTTGTTTTGTTTTGTTTTATTGTTTGTTTTTGGGTCACACCTGGCAATGCTCAGGAGTTACTCCTGGCTTTGCACTCAGGAGTTACTCCTGGTGGTGCTCAGGGGACCATATAGGATGCCAGGGATCCCATATCCATACTGCTTTACCCACTGTACTATCGCTCTGGTCCCTAAACAAGTCTTTAGCAACCTCCCTGGCCCCCCATGGCCCAGTCCTGCCTTGCCCCCAAACTGTGCTGTGGGTTTAGCCCACGGCATCAGGGAGCACACGGACAGCTGCTGGAGAAAGAGGCAGAAGTGGGACCATGGTATTCTCTGGCTGTCTACTGCCCGTGCACACCTCGGACAAGTTACTTTCTTGCCTCAGTTTCCTTATTTTGACCTCTATCTTGATTCTTCCACCAGCCGCCTGCGGGTGCCAAGGTTCCCAGTTTCTCTTCCCGCCCCTGACCCCAGCAGTTCTTGAGTTGAGCGGACCACAAGTCTTGGTTGCGGCAGGGGCCAGGTCTCTAAGTGACCTGAACTGCAAATGCAAATCACCAGGGAAGGCTGGGGAGGAGCTTGCGGTGTGAATGGTTTATCTGATTTCCTCCCTCCTGCAACCCACATAGAGAATCAGGGCAGGCTCCTAGGCAGGCAACTTCGCTGCCTTAGGAGCAGTTGGCCTCTCGCTCTCCTTGACTACCCACTCAGCTCTGCGCTGAGCCCTGCCTCCAGGGGGTTGAAGAGGATGGCGTCCCTGTTGCCACAGGAAAGCATCTCCCCAAACCAGACTCTGACTCCGATGCTTTCTTCCCTCCCTCTGGCCAGTCCTTCTGAGTCCAGACATTCTCCTCCAGGAAGCCACCCTGGCTGACAGCAGAAACACATATACACACATACACACACACACACACACACACACACACACACACATGTGCACACACACACACACACACATACACTCGCACTCACATACACTCACACTCACATACACTCGCACAATGACATACACACACACACACACACACACACACACACACACACACAAAGCGTGCTTTTGGCTTGTCAGGGCCTCTGCAGAGATAAATGGGCCCCCCAGCAAGGTTTTCTGTCAGGACATGTGACGCCATACACGCATCCAGGGTATGACCAAGTTTATTATTTACATAACTGAGGTTTCTGAGGAGAGCCAGGAGGGATGATTGGCCTGGAGCTTTTCTGAGGTTAGGGAGCAAGGCCAGGGTGAATATCAGCTCTCCAAGGGGCCTGCACGTTCCAAATCTCTGTGGCCCCAGACGGTGGAGTTCCAGGGCTTTCCTAGGGTCCCGTCCAGGTGGGGGCAGAGGACAGAGAGGGATACTGGCTTTGAGGATTGTACAGATGTCAAAGTGAGTCTGGGGTGGGAGGTTGTTTGGACCATAGCAAGCAGTGCTCAAGACTTATTCCTGGCTCTGTGCTTGGGGGACCATATGGGGTGCTGGGGATTGAACCTGAGTCAGCCACATGCAAGTCAAACATGCTACCCGCTGTACTATCTCTCAGGCCCTGGTCCCTTCTCTTCTGGGAAGGACCGACTTGACAAAGTACATGGAGGAGGAGAGGAGGAGGCGGTGGGTTATAAAGCCCCAGAAACTTGTAGATTTCAGACCTTCAGCCTAGACTTGGGGTTTTTCCTTCTGCCCCTCTGCCGTGCAGAGACCCTCTCTGTCTGCTTTTCTCCCTCCACACTTCCCCATCTCCTCCGGTTCTGTGTGACACTCCCCTACATTCCTCAGCTCCAGCCCTCCCCCCTGCCAGGCGACCCTGCTTCTGCTCCCACATTCCCGCCGGACACTCCCCTGGAGTGGAAAAACCATCCCTCATCCCTTTCCTGCTCCCAGCCCTGGGATCGGACATGCTGGTCATTCCTGTTTGGGATGGCCAGAGATAACGCCTGGCACAGAGCCCGCCTGGCATCCCATGGGTCTCAGAGTGGTCTCCAGGGAACCTCTGCTGACACTGAGGGTCCACCCTAGTCCCTGCCCTCCTGGAGGGACATGGTGGGGGGGGTGAGGGGTCAGCTGCTGGCCAAGAGACCAAGGCAACTGTTGGACTTCCTTCTGGGTCAGCTTCCTGTTGCTTGACCCCAGATGTCTCCTAGCCCCTGGAGGTCCCCCTCCATCAGGCGGGATGTGGAGAGGCTGGTGGCTCTGGGAGGCACAGCTCAGGAACAAATGTCATTTCAAGGGCAGGCAGGGACAAGTGTCCTCTCCCCCTGCTCTGCAACTAAAGCTGTTATCACAGCTGCTTCTGTTTAAGCATGTGTATCTGGCTGAGCAACATCTGTCCGGAGTTTGCTTCTTAAAGATACAGCTTTGGTCAGTCGAGGCCTGCCTCTGCATCTAGCAGGTGAGGGGCTGGAATGCCCAGGTCCCCCTGTGAGTCTAAAGAGAAGCTACTCAACCCTGAGGACAAAACGCATCACTCAAGTCCCTTCACTGATTCCACATCTCACCGTGGACCCCTGATTTCAAATTCTTCTCCTTTGGGGACGGTGGTTGTTTGGGGGCTACCCTCAGTGGTACTCAGGGCTAACTTCTGGCTCTGAGCTCAGGACTCACTCCTGGAAAAGCTTAAGAGACCCTATGGAGCCCCAGGGATTGAACCCGGGTCGGATATGTGCATATGAACCCGGGTTGGATAAGTGCCCTGCCCGCTGTACTATCTCTCTGGCCCTTGATTCTTCACCTTAAAAAGGTCTCCCAGTTACGCAAGGCTCAGGCTCTGCCAAAGCTGGGTCTGGCCCGTGTATTGTACAAACGTTAATTATTAGCATGAGTAGCCAAGAAGGGCTCTGGGGTCAAACAGCACAGGATTACAGTCCCAGCTGTGTGACCTTCCCCACCTTGCTTAGCCTCCCCAGGGGCTCAATTTCCTCTTCTCAAAATAGAGATAACACCTCAAAGGTGATTGGGAGGATTTAATGTATTAATATCTGTAAAGCGCTTAGCAGAAGGGTTTTCCACACGTTTGTTGTTTTCTTATTATAAGCCCTTGAAGATAAGTGCTCCAAACGGAAACTTCAAGGGAGTGAGCGCGAACGCGGAAACTCCTGGGCCAAAAGGAAGAAGGCTCGTTGGAGCCGAGAGAAATCGGTTTTTGCTGTGCGATAAGGAGATCTAAGTGCCAGCCAGGAAAGTGGATAGTGACCGCCTGAATTTTCCCTTTCAGTTTATGTTCTTCTGCGCAGCGGCAGCCCTCTGCGACCCGCCCACCTGCCTCTACCTGGCACCACCCACCGCACACCTGCGTTCCGCCCAGTCTTCAAACGGCTCTGGGAGCCTGAGTGGGAGGAGGAGACGCGGGTTCTGCTGGCGCGGGGCCCTGGAGGCTGGGCTGAATGAACAAGACTCCAGGCTGGGCCGGGCTTCCAGGCCACACGGTGTCCGCCCTCCAAGGAGAAAGGACTCCCTTTCACGTCCCTTGCAAGAAAGCGCTACCAACGATGCTAGTGACTTTAGCCAAGCCTCGCTCCTTATTCCCACCGCGAAATATCTAGGGCGGGGCTGGGGGGGCCCTCCGGAGAGACTGCTCCCAGCTAAGGATCAGGGTGGGTCGAGCGGGTGGGCAGGAGTAGAGAAATAATAAATCTGCAGCGCGCAGAGGCTGAATGCGAAGTGTGTGTGTGTGTGTGTGTGTGTGTGTGTGTAACAAAAACGGAGACAACGAAGCCGTCCTTCCCGGACTCACAGCCTGGCCTGTCTGGGGACCAATCGGGTGTCGCTGGAGTGTGCGCGCGGACGTGGATGCCCAGATGCGCCCAGCGCCAGGGCGCTCCGTGCCAGGGCGGGCAGGGCGGCCTCTCCGGGCACAGCGGCAGGAATGAACCCCAGTCCCCGGTCCCGCCCGGACCCCCTCTGCGCCGGGAGGAGAGGCGAGGGCCCGCAAGGGGCCGTCCGAGGCGATGGGGGCCGCGGACAGGTGTTTGGGGGAGGGGGAGGGCGGGGCCGGGCCGGGAAGGATGAGGCGGGCGGGGCCGCGCTGCGCCTTTAAGAGGCGGCGGCGGGCGCCGGGACCTTTTCTCCTTCCCCGGAAGGAAAGCGGAGCCGGGTCCGGGCGCGCAAGGTGGGGAGGTGCGGGGCCGGGCGCGGGGAGGCGGGGCGCGCGGCCCGGGACCCTCCCTCTCGTCCTGCCGGTGCCGAGCGGCCGCCCAGGCCGGTGCGAGGCGCTCGCGCGGCCGAGGGGGCGCGGCCGCGGCGGGGCGGGCGGGGCGGAGCGCGCGGGGCGGGGGCCCGAGTCGGGTGCGGGCGGGCGTCGGGGCTGGCGCTTGGACACCCGCCGGGCTCCGGGAGGGCGAAGCGGAGCGCGTCCGCCCCGTGGCAGCCGCGGGCGAGGCGGGGAGCAGGTGAACAGGTCCCCCCACCCCGACCCCCCACCCCGCACCCTGCCACCCCCCCCCCGGCCATGGGCCCGGGTCCCCTCCGGGCCGCCCGCGCCCCGCGCGCCCTGCTCTGCGCCCTCGTCGTGCTGATGGTGGACACCTCCGCCTTCAACCTGGACACCCGGTTCCTGGTGGTGAAGGAGGCCGGGAACCCCGGCAGCCTCTTTGGCTACTCGGTCGCCCTCCACCGGCAGACGGAGCGGCAGCAGCGCTACCTGTGAGTGGGACTGGCGGGGCCGGGGGCGCGCGGCGGGTGCGGGGACCCCAGAGCACAGCCGAGCCGGGTCGGCGCAATCCGGGCGGCCGCCCGCCCGCCCGCCCGCCGTGGGGACGGAGATGGAAGGGGGCGGGACCCGGGAGCCCTCTGGCTGCGGGCTGCTGGGGTTTGGCGGGAAGCAGAAGGTGGGTGTAGAGTGGGGGGTGGGAGGGAGGGTTGGCGGGCAGTAATCACTGGCTACTACTGCTGACCTGGCCAGAACCCTGTCTAGACGCAGCCCCCCTCAGCCTTTTAAACCTGATTGAGAGCAGAAGTCCCCGTGCGCAGGTCCCCTTTCTGTCCTGGTACACCAAGCGCCTCTCTGCAGGTTCTGGGGCTGCAGGGCAGAGTGGGAGATAGACACCTAGGGGGGTCCCTTTCCGCTTTCCTGGGAAGAACCTCTGAACGTGAGCGGTTAAGCGCCCCCCCTCCCATCTCCCAGATTCTCTGCAGAGCCGGCCACACCCTCCGCAGAGCGCCTGGGCGCCTTCTCCCGGCCTGGCGGTTGCCGAGAGCGAGGGCATGGGCACGTCTGGGCGTCTTGGAGCTGTCCAGGTGCTCCTTCTGACCCCTCGAGGCTGCGGGGGGCGGGGAGGGGCTGTCCCAGCCGCTGCCTGGGTCTCCTCCCCCACCCCCGCGTGACCCCTCCCTCCCACCAGACATCTTCCTTGCATTCCACAGATTCATGTTGAATCCTCGACCCTGAGTGTGTTTGTTTTGGTTTGAAGAGGGAAATGGTGTTTTTCTCTTCCCTTCTCCTTCCCCAACAGCTGCAAGGAGGCGGGGCAAGGGCCCGGCGTATTGGAGAGGGGTGGGCGATCAAACCCAGCTGCCCAGCCCCCCTGTGCCCCACTTCCACCCCCAGATGCAGGCCCCAATTTCTCCCCGATCTTGTGTCCTGGGGAATGGGGGGGTCTGCCCTGGGAGGGAAAGCAACAGGCAGGCTTTTCCTGCTTCCCTCTGGATTGGGACCCTGTAGCACTGTCCTCCCGTTGTTCATCAATTTGCTCGAGTGCGTCTCCATTGTGAGACTTTGTTGTTACTGTGTTTGGGGCAACTACCAGAAATCCAAAATCCACCCACCTGGTTTCTAACCTCAGGGAGCAGGAGAGTATGGTCAGATAAAGAGTGCGCTCCTCATTTCCTCCTTTTTGGTTTTCTGTTTGGCTCACTTTGGTGGGGCATGGGTGGGGGGAGGTGGGAGCCACCCGGGAGACTAGGCATCAAATCTGGAGCCTCGTGTTTGCTAGCTATGTGCTCCAACCCTTGGATCTCTCTCCCCGCCCCAGATAAAGGCTGTTTTAGAACTTCAGTTCTAACTGAGGCCCTGAGAAACTTGAGGAAGCTTATACAGTCCAAAGTCCAGACTGTTCCAGCAGTGATCCATGTCCTGCTGGCCCAAGCCCTGCCCAGGCTACCACCTGAACTTGACCACAAGTCCATAGAGCTTCCTCAGAAGCCGCCGCACCCTTCCCAGCCTGGCCTTTGTGATTTTGACTTTGGTCCGGTCTGAGCTGACCCTCCTCCCTCTGGGGACCCTACCTGACCATCAGCACCAGTTCCCCTGTTGGTGCTCTCTCTGTCTGCCTGGAGAAGAAGATTCTTGTTTAGTTTCCAGTACTGAATCTGCAGGCTCTAAGGCTTATGAAGAGATCAGACTGGAAATCAGAGGAAATATGATTCTGGCCACACCGCCCCCCTGTTCTGTGTGACCTTGAGCAAAAGCTTCCTTTTCTGGACCCGTTTTCCCCACTGTTTGAGGTTTAGATCAGAGGGTCCCAAACTGAAAAATACACTCGGAGCCCGCCCGGGAACTCTGCCTTCTTTAAACAGACAAATGGAATGGTTCCCCACCCACCCACCCACCCACCTTCCCCACAATTGTACCCAAGGCTACTATGCTGCCTTCTGGTTGGTTCCAGCATTCCAGAGGGGAACGGTGATGTCACTCACTTTGGGACATATGGACCACATATGCTTCTTCCTGCCTCCGTTGGCCTCTCAGAGACCAGCTGTGGAGAAGGAAAAGGCTCCAGGCCCAAGGCCTGCCCTGGGTCCTGCCCGCTAGCCAGCCCTCGATTCCTCAGGGAGGGTCCAGCCCCCTGCAGGGGAAAGCAGGGACAATGGCCTTCAGCCCAGGCAGTGTGTATCAAATGCTCAGCGCTTGCCTGCTGTAACGCCAAGGGCCCTGTGTGCAGGCCGTGACCTGGACATCTCTCCTTGACCCCGAGAGCGCCAGGCTGAGAGGCTCTGCTCTTCCTGCTTGGGACACCCCAGCAAATTCTGAAACAAAGGAACCCAGGAGGGCAGGTGGCTCGGGGTGTCCCCCCCGGGGTTTCCTCGGGAGTGGGGAGTGGCCAGCGGTGTCTGTATCTTGGCCCCGCTCAGCTCCCTGAATCCACTCACTGGTGTTGGGGCAAGCCAGCTGGGCCGCTCGAGGCAGCCAGCTGTGGAGCCAGCTGTGAGCAGCTGCCTGAGTTACAGCCCCCAGGAATGACAGGTCCGGTTGCCATCTTGTATTCTAGTGGGCCTCGAGTCCTTTCGGAGGGACAGAGGGGGAGCCCTTGGTTGCCAGTAAGCCCTGAGCCTGGGGATGAGAGGCTTTCAGGAGAGGTGGGGACCCCTGGAGGTGAAGCAAACCCCTGCGTGTCTGTGCATTGTTCGGGAAAGCGCCCAGCTTTCGTCATCGTCCCAGAGGAAGCCTTCTTCTAAAAATGGTGAAAACCCAGTGGTGTGCCCTTGCCTGCCCCACCACCTTCGTCTCTGGACTGAGGTTGTTCTGCCCACCGCTTCAGAGGCTCACCCCAGCCAGATCCCCAGTCCCCAGGCTCTGGAAGAAGTGTGCTCACTTTCACAGTGCTCTGTGGAGAGCAGGAGCGAGATGCCGGGACCCCTGGGAAGGAGAGGGACTTACTCCTCTAGAAGCTGGTGGTGGGCCGCCCCGCCCCCACTGCGCCCGGGCCCCCCAGCCCTTCCCCTTTCCCAGGTGAGGTGGAATATGGGTCCTCGCTCCCTTTTCATCTCTGCCTGGAAATGAAGGTGTCTGGGAAGCGGGAGGCGGGGGTGGCTGGGGCCCCGCGAGCATGAGGTCATGCCTGAGGCAGGCAGGGACCAGCGTACCTGCTGTGGGCTCCTGCAACACGTTTCCCTGCGCGGGGCAGACGCCTGGCAGCCCGCGAGGCTCGTGCCAGAGGAAGCAGCGCCGCAGCTGTAGCCGCAGGCACCAGGCCTTGCGTGCTGCGGGCGCTTCCAATCCAGCACTGCCGTGCCAGGGAGCTCCAGGCTGGCGGGAGGCCGAGGGGAGCAGAACCCCGTAGGAAAGGGAAATCAGAAAAGGGGCTCGGCCTGCCTGCCTGCCTGCGTGGGGCGGGGCGGTCAGTGCCCACTGCGGCCAGCGGGAACGGAGGGGAGGCGGCGTGAAGAATGGCCGAAGGGATCCAACCGGGGCTGGCATTAAGGTGCCACCGAGAAAAACAGCCCCGTGTTCTTATTCCCCAAGCCTCTCTCCGCGTCTCTTACTTCCTCCAGCTTGTTGCTCCAGTTCTTGGGCTGAGTCACCGAGGGGAGAGAGGGGGCTGGGTGGGCAGCAGACGTCGGGGGAGGACGGGAGAGGGTTGCTGTTTCAGCTACCACGGGAGCATGCTCTGGGGAGATGGTTAATTCGGGCAGCAGGATTGGCACAGGGCTGGGATCCAGGCGTCTGAGAGCGCAGGGCCCCCCCTCCCCCGCCCCCTAGCTGGGGACTCAGAGCCCGAGTGCGCGGCCCCTCCCCAACCTGTCTCCTGGCCTGGAGTGGAGGGTGGACAGGACCCCGGCCTCTCTGCCGGCCTCACTGCCCCCTCAGAGTTCATGGCAATCTCCCCCCTGGAGCCCCCCTGGGCCCCCTGAGAAGAGGCATCGGGGAGGTGGACCCTGACAGACTCTTTCTTCTAGTATTTGCCCAGCCCGGTGCCCTGGGGGTGGGGGGGACTGTCTGCTCTTTGCAGGCAGCTGACCTGCCGGACTGAATGCTTCCATGTCCCAGCCCCCTCCGTCCCCTGGCGTCTCCGCCGCTGTTTTCTGCTTAGTGGCTGGGGATGAGGGTGGGGGTGAGCAGGGCAAGGAGGGGCTTTTCCCTGAACTAGGCACTGGGGGCTCCCCAGAGGCCCGGAGGGGCTGTCTGGCTCGCCCCGTCCGCAGGAGGAGATCAAAGGGCAGCTGTGGGTTGCCCTTGAAGGGTTATTTCACTCATGGGCCGGTCTTCCGGCGCCCCCATCATCCACCTGACTCCGGGAAGGCAGCCGGCTGCCATCTTCCTTCCTCCAGGAGCCGACTGGGCAGCCCACGGACGCGCCACCCTTCGGGCCCCGGGCCAGTGGCGGCTGGTGGTCCGGGAGGGCTGGGTGTGCAGCCCCAACAGAGGGCGTGGGTGCTCCTTTGCAGGTCATTTGCATTCTGTTTGCATGGAGTTAAGGCCCTCCTGTCCCTGATTCTCCCATACCTGACTGTTGCTGAAGCTGGACCTGCCCCCTGGACCCTACCCACCTTCCCCCACCCACTCCCAGGCCTCTGGCGATAGACCCATTGGATCCCGGGCTGGGAGCCAGAGGGCCTTAAAGGGCCTCTGAGCGGGCCAAGTAGGAGCTAAAAATACTCTAAGGGGGTTGTGGGGGTAGGGGTGGGGGGGCTCCCTGTGGAATCTGGGGGGAGGGACAGGGATGTGGGGCTGGAATTAGGGCACTGGCACGACCCCATTGCCCATCAGTGGGCACAGGCAGATGCAGGGGGAGGGTGGGGAGGCACAGGGGTTTATTTCAGTTCAGTGGCCATCCATGGCCAGCCCTGTCCTCAGGGTACCCCGGGAAGCTAAGAGGAGGGGTCCTCCGTCCCCTCTGAGACCAAGGGGACGTTCTGCTCCTCTGCCCCCTGCCATGGGCAGCGAATGACCTGGCAGCAGCACTTGCTTTGCCTCTCATGACCAACCGGGAGTGCAAGCTGGGCTCCCCAGAGACCCCTCAGGGCCACTGTAGCCACACCCCTGCCTCCTCCTCCTCCTCCTCCTCCAGATCTGAATTTCTGCCCTGGAAGGACCCGGGCAGCCTGGGCCAACCCCCCCACTTCGAGCTTGCTGGTCCCCCGCATCCTAAAAGTGTTCCATCCCATTCTCTGCCCCTTCCCCTCCCCCCACTCCAGGTTCCCCAATGTGGGTGGCGGGGTGGGGGTGGATGGACATTTCTGGGTTCCGGAAAGGCCAGTCCTGGGGCCAAAAGAAATCAGAACCTGAAAGCCCTGTGGCTGCATGAGACTTGTCCCTAGCCACCCCAGTGGGGACACAGCCGGTGTCCCTGTTTCACTGAGAGAGGGAAAGAAAATTGCCCTCCAGGCACAAGGGACCCCAGATGTTGGCCCTTAGGCTCCTGGGCAGACCTTGCTTCCTTTTCTCCCTCGCCCCTCCCCCACGTCACCGGGACAAACTGTCCTCAGGGAGTTAGTCACGCAGTGGACTCACCCTCACAACCCGGCGCAGGTGGCTAACTGCCACCGACCTGCTCCAGCGGCTGCACCTACCTAAGGTGAGGCTGAGCTGCTGAGGTCCCGCCCCTCCCCGCGCCCTGCAGCGGCGCATTCCTGACACCCTGTGGGCGGGCGGAGGCGCCCAGGCCCCAGCATGCCCAGGCCCTGCCCCGCCCGCTCCCTGCACAGGTCCCTGCAGGGCTGTTGCCAGGCACTTCCAGACTCTGGCAGGAGCCCAGAGCCCAGGCAGGGAGCCTGGGGGGACAGCGTGGCCAGGGCCAGGTGCGGGGACCCTGGAGGTGGGGCGGCCCCCACTGAACCACCCAGAGGCTGTGTGGAGGAGCAGGGATGTGGCTCCTCGTACGCGGGGCAGACGGTGTTTGGGGTCCAGGTGCTATGCGCCCAGGTCAGGCTTCCATCCCAGTCTCAATGCAGGTGGTCTGTGGCAGGCTGAGTGGTGTGCCTCTGTCACATGTCCCAGGAGCCTCTTCTCCTGAGATGTGATGTCAGGGGCGAGGCCCGCCTCCCCCAGTCCGGTCTGGGCAGGGTGCTGGGCCCTAAGTGTTCTGCAGAATGAGGGGACTGTATCGTTAAGTCGAGCAGGAGGCAGGGGGTTGGGGGTGGGCAGGGTGTTCAGAAACCAGGACTGTGGCCTGGCCCACCCCACACTCATGTCAATCTGCAGGAGCTCAGCCCTGGGGATACTCAGTGCCCTTCCGCCCCTTCCCCCAGCCCCGAGGTGCCAGTGTCAGGTGGGGTGGGGGGAGATCTCTCTGGGTCACGGCAGGCTCAGGCCTCCCTCCTGCCCACCCGTACCAGGAGTCCTGCTTGCCTCCTGCATCTGGCCTAGAGATCTGCCTGATTACTTCCTTGCTAGAAATTCTTCTGTGTCCTCTGTGCCCACCCTCCCCGGTCCCAGGACTCAGCTATCCCCAGGGCCTGACAGCCACTGAATCACCGGCTTGCTCATGCTTCCTGGCTGTGGACAAGCTGTACCTTTGCCGGAAGTGCCTTCAGCCTCTCTCCACCTGGGAAACGCTCCCCTCCCCTCACTGTCTTCCACTGCAGACAGACCGGGGGGGGGGGGGGGCGGGCACAGAGGCCGGGGGGACAGAACCCGACCCGGCTAGCCCTTGCGGGCTGCTCCCCCCATCCCCCCGCAGAATCTGGCCCTGCTGCCCTTTCCTGCAGCTGACCATGGATGTCTGGCTCCTTCCTGCCCGCCTCTGCCCTGGGCGCTACTAGAGGGCAGTGCCAGGGGTCACCCACTTCTCCACCCCCAGCACCTGGCACTCATCAGAGCAGGTGTCCAGGATGCTCCAGCTGAGGGGTTGTTTGAAGTGCCCCCTCTGGGAGGAGAGCCCAGACCCACCTGCCCCCTTGCCCTCCCACCCCCCAGGCTCCTAGCCGGCGCCCCCCGGGACCTGGCTGTGCCCGATGGCTACACCAACCGTACCGGAGCTGTGTACTTGTGCCCTCTCACGGCACAAAAGGACGACTGTGAGCGAATGGACATCACAGAGAAAAGTGAGGCGCAGGGCCGAGGCTGGGTGGAGGGTGGCCCGGAGAGGAGATTAGCTGGGGAAGGCCCAGCTGCTTCTCATCCAGCATGGAAGAGGGAGCCGTGGAGAGCGGGATCACCTGGGACGTGGGTGCAGGCTGTTGCTGGGGCCGCGGAGGCACCCTGTAGTGGGGCGGGCATCCCAGGAGAGTCAAGATTGCCCGCTGGAGGCCCTGGGCAAGCTTGGGTGGGCAAGGATAGGGTGCCCTGACTCAATGATCCCCCCCGTGTCTGCAGGTGACCCAAGTCACCACATTATTGAAGACATGTGGCTGGGAGTGACCGTGGCCAGCCAGGGTCCTGCAGGCAGAGTCCTGGTAAGTGGACAACCCCTCTCAGCCCTGGCACACACACTCCACAGCCCTTTCCTTCATCCGGGGGTAGCAGGAGAGGGTGCTTCAGGCTGGGGGCTGGGATCTTGCCCATGCCCATGTGTGGTTGTTGTGGGGTGCTGTGGGTACCTGCATTTCTGGGTGGAGTGGGGTCTGATGATCCTCCAAGGGCTAGCCCGGCCGGGTTCTGTCTGATTCACCCACATCCTCCCTGCACACCCTCCCCCTCTCCCCCCCCCCACACCCTCCGTGGGAACTGAGCGGAGAGCAGAGGGAACTCCAGCTCCGAGCAGGAAAGGGCAGCGAGGCCCTGGGGCAGTGTGGGCTGGCACGCTTCTTCCTGGGAGGCTGGCGGAAATGTTGCAGCCTGGGAGCCCGGATTATGTGGCTCATGTATGTCGAGGCCTCTCCCTGCTGCCCGCTGTCCCCTTGTGCCCACATTCTTCAGCACTGGGCCCTCCGGTATCAGTTTCCAGGTTGATGAATCAGTTGAAAAGAAAAAAAAAAAAGATTTGTTCATTAAGTCATATGAAGTTCAGGCACAGCAAAAATGCAGAGCTTTGAGGTCACGATAAGTTTTGTTTTTGTGTTTTTTGCTTTTCTGGGTCACACCTGGCGATGCACAGGGGTTCCTCCTGGCTTTGTACTCAGGAATTACCCCTGGCGGTGCTCAGGGGACCATATGGGATGCTGGGAATCGAACCCAGTTTGGTCGCATGCAAGGCAAACTCCCTACCCGCAGTGTTATTGCTCCAGCCCCTCGAGTTTCGAACAATTATGCACACGGGCAGCCAGTACCCACAAAGGAGAGTATTTGCTGCATTGGAGAGATACTGTCCCCTTCCCATCAGTGGCCACCCCTCCCCCTTCCCCAGCCACCTTCTCTCCCCCTTGGAACACTGTTTGTGTTGGTTCATGCCGACCCCTCTGGCCACCTGAGGGGGTGGAGTAGGTTCCAGCCACAGTGGCGCCCCCGTGGCTTCATATCACATTCTGCCGTTAGCAATGACTCACATCAGGAAAGGTTCACCAGGGCAAGAGAACCAGAACTGGCTCTGTGGAGTCCCAGATTTGTTCTCCGTGAGAGGGCCTCCCTGAGGGGCCACAGGACGCCTAGGAGTGTGGCCGTGTGAGCAGCAGACAGAAGGGCTGCCCTTGTCATTGTGGCTCTCATGCTGACTCTGGTCACCTTGTGGTGAAGGCAGGTCCTCTGGCCACTGCAGAGAAGCTGTCCCTTTGTCTGCTCTGTGTCTAGCTCCTCGGAGATCCAACAGTGTAACCTCATGTCCCTGCGTCCTTTGCCCTTTCTCTTTGGCCAGGCTGTCAACCCCCCACACCAGCTGCCTCTGCAGAAGGTGCCCCAGGGGTCGGAACGATAGTACAGTGGGGGTTTGCCTTGCACGCGGCTGACCTGTGTCCTATCCCTGACTTCCCATGTGGTCCCCCGAGCACCGCCAGGAGTAATTCCTGAGTGCAGAGCCAGGAGTAACTCCTGAGCATCGCAGGGTGTGATCCAAAAAAGGGAAAAAAAGGAAACAAAACACGTGCCCCCAGCCTTCAGAGAGCTCTGTGCCTCTGAGTGAGGGGCACGGGGCAGGGGGTGCCTGGGGGATGGCTGGCTGCACAGCCGTCCCAGCCCCTGCATGGTGCTCAGGCTGTGCATTTGGGGGTGGTCCCCAGGTCTGTGCCCACCGCTACACCAAGGTGCTGTGGTCAGGGGAGGAGGACCAGCGGCGCATGGTGGGCAAGTGCTACGTGCGGGGCAATGACCTGCAGCTGGACTCCCACGACGAGTGGCAGACCTACCACAACGAGATGTGCGACAGCAACAACAACTACCTGCAGACGGGCATGTGCCAGCTGGGAGTCAGCGGTGGCTTCACCCACAACACCGTGTACTTCGGCGCCCCCGGGGCCTACAACTGGAAAGGTGGGGGCCAGAGGAGCATGGGAGGGTGGGGGTGGGGGGGACAGCCCCTCTCCAGATGGTTGCCAGGACAGCCGGCCCACCTCCTCCACCCCTCAGGTGGGAGAGACGGTTCCCTGTGCCACCATTCAGCTGTTTTATTTTATTTTTTTGCTTTTTTTGGGGAGTCACAACCGGTGACGCACAGGGGTTACTCCTGGCTCTGCACTCATGCATCACTCCTGGAAGTGCTCAGGGGAACATATGGGATGCTGGGAATCGAACCCAGGTTGGCTGTGTGCAAGGCAAACGCCCTACCTGCTGTGCTATCACTCCAGCCCCCCACTCAACTGTTTAAAATGCTTACTCCGCATCTGGCTCAGAACATAGCTTCACCCGTTTTTTTTTTCTTTTTTTTCTTTTGGTGGGGGGTGGGGGGAACCACACGCACTGGTACTCAGGGCTCACTCCTGGCTCTGTGCTCAGGGATCACTCCTGGCAAGGCTTAGGGAACCATATGGGGTGCCGGGGGATCAAACCCAGCTTGACCACACCCAAGGCAAGTGCCCCGCCTGCTGTATTATCTCTCTAGGCCTCTCTTTAATAATTTTAACATAGACTCCTGAAGGGTCTGGAGGTTCAGTGTTCAGGGCCATCCCAGGTTCAAACTCCAGCACCACCTCGGCCCCCAAGCACGCTGGAGTGGCCATCACAGTGCCAGTGTGGCATCCTTTTGCCCCAGTACTGAACTATCAGCCAGGTTGGCAGAGTCTGATCAAATGGTCACCAAGAGGCCCCGATCCCTAATCTCTGCTTGGCGTCAGGGGAGGAGATGAGGAGACAAAACAAGGAAACAAACAAAAAAGGGGGCAGGGAACTTGCTGGAGATATCGGACTGTGGGTAAGGAACTTGCCTTGCACAAACCCGACTCCGGCGCAATCCCTAGCACAACATGTGGTCCCTTGAACACCTCCAGGAGTGAGCCCTGAGTATCTCTAAAGAAACAAAAAAATTACAGAAAAACTCACAAGGTAGGTGTCGCTGTCACTGTCACTGTCCTCCCATTGTTCATCGATTTGCTCTAGTGGGCCCAGTAAGTCTCCATTTTGAGACTTGTTGTTACTGTGTTTGGCAAATTGAATACGTCACAGGGAGCTTTCCAGGCTTTGCCATGTAGGTGAGATACTCTCAGGCTCTCTGAGAGGGGCAGAGGAATCAAACCCAGCTCGGCCTGGCTGGTTGTGCGCAAGGCAAAAGCCCTACTGCTGTGCTATTGCTTGAGCGATAGGTGTATATACCCATTTTATAGAAAGTGTAGTAATATTCATATTATTTCTACTGCGGCCACTGGGAAGTTAGGAAGCCTTATTTGGATCACTGACCCCAGTTTAACCACCTGTAAGCTTGAAAAATGAATACAACAGGCTCTTTGAGGAAGAATGAAGTCGTATAGTCAGACCTGGTAAAGCAAAGAGTGAAAGAGTTCCCCTTCCACTCAGCCCTATCCTGCCACTGCCCACTGCAGACTCTTACATTTCTTTTTGTTTGTTTGTTTGTTTGTTGTTTCTGTTTGGGTCCACTCCCAGTGGTGCTCAGGACTTCTTCCTGGCTCTGCACTCAGGAATCCCTCCTGGCAGGCTCAGGGGACCATTTCGGGGTGCCAGGGGTTGAACCCAGCCAGCCATGTGACAGACAAGCACCCTACCTGCTGTACTGTTGCTCCAGCCCTCTTCTTTCTGTTGTTGGGTCACACCTGGGGTTGCTCAGAGCTGCTCCCAGTATGTAGCAAGTCTCAGGTCACTTCTGGCAATGCTGGGGGACCACGTGCTGCTGCGGCTGGAACCCAGGCCCCCCACAGGCTGAGCCCTTGCTTCGCCTGTTGTGCCCCCTGCCTAGCCCAAGACTGTACATTTCTCCTGGAGCCATCCAGGTTGATTTTCGAATGTGCTGGTACCGTAGGCAACTCTTAACGGTCCCGCTAACTATATGCTTCACTCCCTCTTTCAACTCTCAGTAGATGGTGGGGACTTTGCGAGTTTGTCCACAGAGAGCAGTCTTGTTTCCGGGGGCAGCTGCAGAGTTGGGTCAGAAATTCATAAACAACACTCATCTGTAGTTCTGCCCTCTGAGAATTTAATTACCCCAAGAAGCATTGCATGCAGTCAAGCATTTTGAGGGAGGGAGAGTACATCCACAGAACTTTTCTTACAGCATGTTGTTGTGATTTTTGGTTTCTTATCAGTTATTATAAGTTTCTTATCAGTTATTATCAGTCATTATTGCTAGAGTGATAGCACAGTGCACAGCGGGTAGGGCATTTGTCTTGTACGTGGCCAACCCAGGTTTTATTCCTTCACCCCTCTCGGAGAGGCCGGCAAGCTACCGAGAATATCCCGCCTGCACAGCAAAGCCTAGCAAGCTACCTATGACATATTCGATATGCCAAAAAACAGTGACAAGTCTCACAATGGAGACATTACTGGTGCCCGCTCGAGCAAATCGATGGACAACGGGAGGACAGTGCTACAGTGCTACAGTGCTATCAGTTATTATTAGGAACCTATTACTGTGATGACATCATTTCATTATCTGGGAGGGATCTCGGAACATCTCCCCCACATGATGAAGGGGCTGGGGGTGCAGCTCACACCCAGTCCCTGTCCCTCAGCTGCAAAGGGTGACACAAGTCATCCCTCTTCTAATACTTGCACCTTTACTGTCGCAGAATCAGCAGGTAGAGGGAGCCCATAATCTTTTTTTTTTTTCCTTTTGGGTCACACCCAGCGATGCTCAGGGTTACTACTGGCTCTGCACTGAGGAATTACTCCTGGAAGTGCTTAGGGCACCATACGGGATGCCGGGGATCGAACTCGGGTCAGCCATGTGCAAGGCAAATACCTTACCTGCTGTACTATCGCTCTGGTCCCCAAAATCTTCTGATTGCCAGGGCGGGATGGGGCTAGTGTCTCAGGCTTCTGAGAAGACCTCTTTGTCCTGCCTCCCTGGTCCTTCAGAACCTCCTGTCCCCAGCCAGATCTTTTGGACAGCTGACCCTGAGTTCAGGCCGGGTTGGAAGCCTCCACCCATAGCAGAGCAGGACCAGGGGTGCTAATGGCACAGAGCCCAACCTCAGTTCCAGGAGCCCTGTCCACTGGGTCCCAGCCCACTTTCTGCCCCTAGCTGCACAGCTCAGAGCCTCATTTTCCTCATCTGCAAAACGGAGTCATAATTCGGCCTCATTGAATAGCAAGAGGATCTGCAGATGAGGAAGTGCTTAACCAATAAAATGCGTTATTATCCTTTCTGTCTGGAAGGTGGGACTGAGCATAGTAGAGAAAAAGGGTGGTGACTTATGCTCCTTCTCCCCAAATCCCTGTCAAGGAAACAGCTACATGATTCAGCGGAAGGACTGGGATTATTTTGAATATAGTTACAAGGACCCGGAGAAAGAAGGAAACCGCTATATCGGTGAGTCTTTCTGGCAGCCCACTGGGGGGGGTGGGGTGGGGGGAGGAAGGGGTGCGTTCCCAGCCCTCTGGCCTGGAAGAGCAAGGCCAGGATGTCGGTTGCCTAGCGGCTTTTAGTTCAACTAGCGCATACTTATTATTGAGCACCAACTGTTTGCACCAAGAAGAGGCAGAGTCCCTCCCCTCACAGAACCCAGAGTCCGGTGCCCAGTCAGGACTAGGGGCCAGGCATCAGGGTCCACGTTCTTGCTCAGTTGGGGACCGAAGACCAGATGACAGTGCGGAGGCTTGAGGGAGCCCCAGAGCTGCACGGGATGAAGCTTACTGACCCCTATCTTCCCATCCAGGGTACTCCACACAGGTGGGCAGCGCCATCCTGCACCCCAAGGACATCACTATCGTGACAGGTGCCCCGCGGCACCGCCACGTGGGCGCTGTCCTCTTGCTGAGCCAGGAGGCGGGCGGAGACCTGCAGAGGAGGCAGATCCTGGAGGGCACGCAGGTGGGCGCCTATTTTGGCAGCGCCCTTGCCCTGGCTGACCTGAACAATGATGGGTGAGAATCCAGGGACGTTTGCTGGGGCCAGGGAGAACGGGGACAGGGACAGATCGGCCCACAGCAGGGTGGAGACGTGGAGGTTTCCATGCGTGCACTTGGTTGTCATTTGTTGGGACTTGCATGTCAATGCCCTGGTGTGGACTTAACAGCCGTGTTTTACGGGACCCTGAGCATCTACCTGTCATTTGCAAACCGGGTGCATTTCATTGTCTTATTATCTCTGCCCTTTGTCTGGCTCTCAGGGGCATGCCCTTGCCTGCATGGTTTCTCTCTGACATGTGTCTTCACAGTGAGGGGTCATGAGGGTATCCCCATATCCTTCCTGTGACCTCTGGCCAGAGATGCCATCTGCAGAGCCAAGTGCCCTGGCACAGCTGGCTTATGGGGAAGGAGCTGACCTCACACCCCTGCTCCCCCATCCTTCTCTCTCCCACAGATGGCAAGACCTTCTGGTGGGTGCCCCCTACTACTTCGAGAGGAAGGAGGAAGTGGGGGGTGCCGTCTATGTCTTCATGAACCAGGCGGGCACATCCTTCCCCGCCCAGCCCTCCCTCCTCCTCCACGGTCCCAGTCGCTCCGCCTTCGGTTTCTCCGTGGCCAGCATTGGTGACATCAACCAGGACGGGTTTCAAGGTAGGGGCCAGCACTCCGTCCCTGCCCACCCAGTGACAGGGCCAGCTGCATTCCACACCTGACAGGACCCCAGAGTAGATGAAAGGGGACCCTGGTCTGGGGGCGCTCTCAGAAGGGAAGCGCAGGGGGCTCCAGAGGCAAGCTCGGAGGGCCTCCTGGAGTGGAGGCCTATGCCTGGGCTGGGTTACAGAATGTCAGGGGACAAGGGGGTGCAGCCTGAGGGTAGGATACGTGCCTATAACCCAGTTTTAGCCACTGTCATGGGAAAGATGAGCTTGCAAGACAGAGGGGGATGTGGGGTGGTTGCTTTGTAAGTCAGGCAGAGGAATGGGGTCTTTATATTTTGGTAATGGTGTGTGTGGGGTGGTCCAGAGGGGACCATGCTGGAAGATGATAGCTGTGTATCTTTAAAGATGGTTCTAGAGGGATGGTGGGAAGCAAGGCTAGAAGAGTTAATATCAGTGATGTAGGAGCTGGGCATGTGGCTCATGTGAGGCCCTGGGTTCAATTCCCGGCATTGAAAATATAAATAAGAAAATCAATAACATAGTATATTGGGGCCTGGAGCAGTAGTACAGCGGGTAGGGTGTTTGCCTTGCAAGTGGCGGACCCACGCTCAGTCCCCAGCATCCCAGCATCCCATGTGATCCTCCAGTTTGCAGGAGCAATTCCTGAGTACAGAGTTAGGAGTGACCCCTGAGCATTGCTGGATATGACCCCCAAGTCTAAAATAATAATAATAATAATAATGTATATTGGGGGCCACCAAGATAGGAGTAACCCTTAAGCATTATTGTGTGTGACCCCAAGACCTAAAATAAATAAATAAAGTAGTCTGTTGGAACCACCAAGAAAAATCAAGTGATAGAGCACGTGCCCATCATGTTTAAGGTCCTGACTTCAATTCCCAGCACAACATGGCCTTTGGGAGCTGCTGGGTGTGGCCACGGTGGCCCCCAAGCACTGCTTGCCACATTAGGCCAATCTCCACCAGAAGTGGCCCCTGACTCCTTTGCACTACCAGATGTTGGTCCCTATTATTAAATATATAAGCAGCCCATCAGGTGTGGGGTGACAGGAACTGGAACCCGTGAGCCGTGGAGAGAGGGACTGTCACCTGTGCTGTGTGGGTTTTAGGGTGTCAGAAGAGGGACAGACCAAGGGGCTGGACTTGGTGGGAGCCCCTGGCAGACCTAGAAGTCTCTGACAACCTCTGTTTCCCAGACGCTCGTTGTCAGCCAAAAGGAAGCAGGAGGAGCCTGCAAAGTGCCAAAATAGGTGCCAGAAAGTTCCATTAACTAATACCAGGGCCATCGGGCATGGGGCTCCGCCTCTGCTCCCGGCAGAGCTCTCTCACCAGCCGGCCTTCCCACAGCAACTTAGGAGCTCAGAAGCACTGGAGAAGGGTTCTTCATTGTTTGTTTGGTTTTGTTTTTAATGCAGAATTATTTATTTAAGTCTTGCCATTTTAGCAAGTTCTCTCTAGTCCTGTCACAAACACCCAGCCGCGTGCTAAGAGACGTTGGCCTCAGCTGTCCCCTTTCAGCTTTCTAGTGGCAAGGGCTTTCCTGGGTCTGACTCCTCATCTATGAAGTGGGGGGGATGGAACCGCCGAGCCTGCAGGACAAGGTCACTAGAGAAGGCGGGTGCCTGGGGGAGGGGTCGGGAGCACCGTGGGAAGAATTCAGGACCCACTGGCACTCGGCCCTTTGAGGGTTATTAACCCACCAAGAGTTGCTTCCCGCTCCCGCACCCACTTTCCCACCCTGCCCAAAAGGCATTCAGGTGCTGGTGGCCCCAGTGCTGGCCATAAGCCCCCATGCTTGGTCCCGCATGCTCAGAGCTTGCTGGCAGAGTAAGGTCGGTGCCACGCTGAGCCTCTGTGGCCTGATTGGGGGCTAATGGCGATGTGGGGTCTGCAGTCCCCAGAGTGACCCGCTGCGTCTCTTCCCCAGACATTGCAGTGGGAGCCCCTTTCGAGGGTTTGGGCAAAGTGTACATCTACCACGGCAGCTCCAGGGGGCTCCTTAAACAGCCCCAGCAGGTATGGAGGGGTGGGGGATGAGAAGGACACCCTCACTACCCGCCTTCTGCCCCCTGAACTCACCCTGCAGGCCCTACCACTCTCCCCTGCCCACAGATCATCCAGGCTGAGCAGCTGGGACTACCCAACTTGGCCACCTTTGGCTACTCCCTGAGTGGGCAGATGGACGTGGATGACAATTTCTACCCTGATCTGCTGGTGGGGAGCCTGTCGGACCGCATTGTGCTGCTGCGGTGAGCCCCCCCCCCGGCCCCCGGCCGAGCATAGGGACCTTCACACCTCTAGCCCCATGGCTGGAGCACCCCACATGCATTCAGTTCGAGCCTGGGCCCACTGGGCGGCCCTGATGTTCATGTTTTCTGTGCAGGGCGCGGCCTGTCATTAACATCCTGCACAGGACCTTGGTGGCCACGCCATCCGTGCTGGACCCTACATACTGCACAGATACCACCTGGTGAGACCCCCCAGCTATCCCTCTGCCTGACACCACCACCTCATCCAGGGGCCAGGCAGGCCCTGGACTACCCCCAGCCACACCCTGAGAACTTACTCTTTTTTTCTTTTGTTTGTTTTGGTGCCATACCCAGCGATGCTCAGGGCTTACCCCTGGTTTGCACTCCAGAATTACACCTGGTGGTGCTCTGGGGACCACATGGAGTGCCAGAGATTGAATCCATGTTGGATGCGTGCAAGGCAAATTCTCTACCCGCTGAATCATCGCTCCAACCTCGAGCATTGATTCTTGGGGCAAGTGTGACTCTCCTTATCCAAGCTTATGCAAGAGCAAAATTTCTTGCAGGAGATGACAGGGAAATTGGGTGCAGTAAGACACGGCGGTTAGGAGTGTGCTCTGTAGTTTAAGCCTGGCTCAAACCCCAGCCTTTGAGCTCCCAGCAGAGGGAAGAGGGAAACACGGAAAACAGCTATGGCAAAGAGCTGCCATGGGCTGCAGGATCTGAGTCTCCCCTGTAGAACAGTGAATACAAATAAACAGTTCAGGGGCCAGAATGATACCACAGTGGGCAGGGTGCTTGCCTTGCAGGTTGCAGGCCCAGCACCCCATATGATCCCTCGAGCCCCGCCAGGGGTGATCCCTGAGCACAGAGCTGGGAGTAAACTCTTAGCACCAGCATGTGTGGCTCAAAAACCAAAAAAGAAGAACCAGCTCACAGGGTGGCTATAATAATTACATGACAGCAGGAGTGATAGTACAGTGGTTAGGGCCTTTGCTTTGCATGCGGCCAACCCGGGTTCAATCCCTGGCGTCATATAATGGTCTCCTGAGCACCACCAGGAGTAATTCCTGAGCTCAAAGCTAGGAGTAACCCCTGAGCATCTCTGGGTGTGACCCAAAAAGAAAAAAAATTATGTGAGGCCAAACAGAGCCTTGAGCAGTGCTGCTGGAAGCTCCTAGTAGCTCTGATGGTGAGAATCCAGGTGGTTGTGGAACCAGGGGACAGGAGACAGGGATGGGATCAGGAAGCAAAGGGAGACAGGGCAGGGTAGTGGGTAGTAGCAGAAATCGACTGGGACCCTGCAGGAGGTCGAGCTGGGCCTGCCATTGATGACTTCCGGAAACTCCTTCTGACCTCAGGACCTCAGTTTGCCCATTGGTGACCTCTTACCTTATTTCCAGTGTTTCTAAAGAGAGGCAGGATATCCCAGACCAGCTCTGGCACCCCAGTCTTGTTCTCTTCTCCCCCACTTCCCAGGGCCCTGGTTTCTCCTTGCCCCATACAACAGGTGAGAACCAGGGCTGAAACCTAGGACTGACTGTGACCAAGCCCTTTTCTACACCCCACAACCCAACAGCTTACAGGTGGAGCTGTGCTTCGCTTACAACCAGAGTGCTGGGAATCCCAACTACAGGCGAAACATCAGTGAGTGCTGGGGAACAGGGTGTGGTGGGGTGTCTCACTCGGCTCCTTGCTGACATGCCTACCTCCTTTAGCCCTGGCCTACACGGTGGAGGCTGACCGGGAGCGCCGGCCACCCCGGCTTCGCTTTGCGGGCACCCAGTCTGCTGTTTTGCATGGTTTCTTCTCTATGCCCGAGACACGGTGCCAGAACCTGGATCTGCTGCTGATGGTGAGGAAGGAGAATGGACTGGACAGAGGCTCCATCACCCCTGGAGTGGGGTATCAGAATCCCCCCAGGCCAGAGATGGAAGTAGAGGAGGACGACCTGGAAGGCCATAGGTCTTTTAGGGGTACAGTGCACCCCAGTGAGTCAGGGCTGAAGGTCTCATCATCTCCCAAAAAAAGTGAACATGCAAGACTCTTGTATTAGCTCATCTTGGAGAGAAAGGGTCCAGGACTGAGGAGCAAGCCCCACCCCACCCACAGGGAGAGGGTCTAAAGGGAGGGGCTTTCCCAGCATCCCATATGGTTCCTAAGCGCTGCCAGGAGTGATCCCAGAACTCACGAGTCAGGAGTATCCCTTGAACACAGCCAGGTGTGGCCTCCCAAGACAAAAAGAATAGAAAGCACCCCAGGACCCCAGCTCTGCCCCCATCCAGAGTGGTCTCTAATAGAAGCTATCCCTCTTCTTGTGGATTAAGGTAGTAGAAAGATGATCAGGCCAGCGAGGGCTCAGTCTGGTGGCTTTGGGTGTTTTCAGGGATGGAGGGGATTCAGGGTCATGTGAAGTTTCTACCTGAAGGAGAGGGCAGTGCAGAATGCGACCGCCCCACCCTCTTTCCCAGGACAACGTCCGTGACAAGCTCCGCCCCATCGTCATCTCCATGAACTACTCTCTGCCTTTGCGAATGCCCGAGCGCCCCAAGCTGGGGCTGCGGTCCTTGGACGCCTACCCGGTCCTCAACCAGGCGCAGGCTCTGGAGAACCACATCGAGGTGGGTAGGGTGGGGCCAGAAGGGTGGAGCCAGGAGGGCTGGGGGGTGAGAGCATGTGAGGGTGGTAGGTCACACATGGTCATCCACCCCCAGGTCCAGTTCCAGAAGGAATGCGGGCCCGATAACAGGTGTGACAGCAACTTGCAGATGCAGGCAGCCTTCATGTCGGAACAGGGCCAGCAGCTGAGCAGGTGCGCTCTGGCCAGTGCTTGGGCCTCCAGGGATAGGGCGGGGCTTCGGGGAAAGGGGCGTGGCTTTAGGACTAACCTGCTGTGGCACGCGTCCTATTGGTCGGGGAGAGCTGGGTTAGTCTAGTGGGCGGGGCCTCAGGGAGGCGCGTCTGAAAGGAGCTGTGTGATTGGCCAAGAAGGATGCACTCCACTGTCTAGGTGAGACTATAGGGTAGGGCCAGGGGCTGGGACTAGTAGGGGGCTGGGCCAGGGGCGGGGCTTGGGGCTTAGTTCTGGGTCCATGCTGTCAGGCTCCAGTACAGTGGAGAGGTTCGGAAACTGCTCTTAAGCGTCAACGTGACCAACACGCCGAGCCCCGAACGGGCTGGGGAAGATGCCCACGAGGCGCTGCTCACTCTGGAGTTGCCTTCCGCCCTGCTGCTGTCCTCAGTGCGCCCCGTGAGTGCCGCTCCAAACCCCGCAGGGCTATTAGGGTCCCCTGGCTCCCTCTGGCCTGGGCCTTCTGTCTCTGCTGCTGGGGGAACCGGGTTCTCAAGCCTCTGGGAGGATGTGTGACCGCAGGCCCCAGGAGAGGGTGGAACAAACCCTACTCCCACCCCGACCGATTCACTGGTTGCTTTTCTTTCCTCAGTCTGGAACCTGCCAGGCCAATGGGACCTTGCTTTGTGACCTGGGGAACCCCTTCAAACGGAACCAGAGGGTGAGCCCCAGACCAGACCCCCAGGTCCTCCTGGGTCTTGAGCTTCTTCCTGCCTGCTTCCTCTCTTCTCCCCCTTTCCCCATGTAGAGCCAGAGTGGGGAGGAGAGGAGAATGACCAGGGGGAGGGGAGGGACCTCGAGACCTGGGACTATGGGACTACTTTGGAGTCTTGCACAAAGTCAGAGCAAGTGGCAGAGACAGAGCAATCTGCAGAGCACCTGCTATCTGTCAGGCCTGCGTGCAGCTCTCTGCTTTCTTTGTGGGAGAGAATTCTTGCAGCCTGGACTGGGACGGTGTCAGGAACATGCTCAAAGTCGTACAGCCACTGACAGACAAGGCGGGGGGGTGGGGTGGGGAAGTCAAGTAGGTAGTGGGGTCCCAGCACAGAGCTCAGTCCCTTCCTCCCTGCGGGGCTCCAAACGCCCTCCCCCCATCCGCCTGTGACCCCATGGCAGATGGAGCTGTCCATCATCTTTGAAGTCAATGGCGTGACTCTGCAGACCAGGGACCTGCAGGTGCAGCTGCAACTCTCCACGTGAGTGACACCCCCAGACCAGGGTGCCCACGGGGGAGGGACGCCCACAGCCCCAGCGAGGCCACCTCTGCTCCCCTATTCTGCTTTCCTCCACCAGGTCAAGTCGCCAGGATGACCTGCAGCCCGTCACCCTGACTCTGCTGGTGGACTATACACTCCAGGCCTCTCTCAGCATGTGGGTGCCTCCCCCTCTCCAGCCCACTAAGGCTCCCTGCCTCTGGGGGTGACCAAGCTCTTGATCCCTTCTCTGGGCAGTGTCTTCAGGCCTGTATTTCCCCAGAGACTTCCCTTCCCTTTGAAGCTGCAAGGGAAGGGGATGGAGCCATAGTACAGAGGGGAGGGCGCTTGCTTTGCACGGGGATGACCAAGTTTGAACACTGGCATCTCATATGGTCCCCTGAGCAACGCTAGAGGTAAGCCCTTAGTATTGCCAGGTGTGGCCCCAAAACCAAAGAATTTTAGAATTTTATTTCAGGGGCTGGAGCAATAGCACAGCGGGTGGGGCGTTTGCCTTGCACATGGCCAACTTGGGTTCGATTCCCAGCATCCCGTATGGTCCCCTGAGCACTGCCAGGGGTAATTCCTGAGTGCAGAGCCAGGAGTAACCCCTGTGCATCGCCAGGTGTGACCCAAAAAGCAAAAAAAAAAAATTATTTCAAAAGCTGCGAGGGGAATGCTGTTGGGTTCCTAGGAGTGCCCCTGCCAAGGAGATGGACCTGATGGCAGGTCCTCCAGTAGGCTAAGGAGAGGCCCTTCTGTCCTTCAGGAGTGGGGCCTGTCTGTCCTTCATCATTCTAAGGATTGTGTAGACCCTCCATGTCACTGGCTTCTCAGAGAAGTCACTGCTGTCAGTGCCTCTAGAAAAGAGGAAACTGAGTCTCAGGGAGGCTGAAGAGCTGGCAGGACCTGGGTCTGGTGCAGGCCCCTCCTGTCTGGGGGTGGTGGCTGACCCTCCTCAGTGTTCACCCCCACCCTGCCAGGCTCCTCCCACCCCCCTGACCACAGCATCTCCCATGCCCCTAGGGAGCGGCACCGGCTGCAAAGTTACTTTGGGGGAACGGTGATGGGCGAGTCTGGCATGAAAACCGTGGAGGACGTGGGAAGCCCCCTCAAGTACGAGTTCCGGGTAAGGATGCTCGGGGCGCTCAGGACTGGAGGCTCCTGGGAAGGGAGATGGGGGCCTTCTTCCCTGGTCTAGGGTCCCAGGATGTGAGGAGTGGGCAGTAAGATGGCATCCAGAGCCGTGGGACCCCTTGTGTCCACAGGTGGGCCCGATGGCAGAAGGGCTGGCCACCCTGGGGACCTTGGTCCTAGGGCTGGAGTGGCCCTATGAAGTTTCCAATGGCAAGTGGCTGCTGTACCCCACGGAGATCAGAGTCCAGGGCAACAAGACCTCACTCTGCGAGCCCCCTGGAGGCCTCATCAACCCCCTGAACCTCTCTATCCCTGTAAGGACCCCGGGATCTGCCCTTTCCTCCTCCCTTGCTTATGGCACAGCAGGAAGCCCACTGGGGGGGGGGGTGGTCTGGAGCAATAACACAGCAGGGAGGGCACTTGCCTTGCATGCAGATGACTCCAGTTTAATCCCCAGCATCCCATATGTTCCCCTGAGCACTGCCAGGAGTGATCTCTGAGCGCAGAGCCAAGAGTTAACTCCTGAGCATCACCAGGTCTGACCCAAAATCAAAAAATGTAATTAATCAATTAATACTCTTTTAAAAGAAAAAGAAAAAAAAACCTACTGTCCGCAACCTCCTCCCATATCCCTTTGGGAGCCTTCTGCCCTTCTTCTGCTCCCCCCACCTCTGCTCAGCAAAGCTCCCTCCTTCCTGTCTCAGGCCCCCGGGGACAGGCCACCATCTCCACAGCGCAGGCGGCGAGAGCTGGACCCAGAGGTGGACCCAGCATTCACACCTGTCACTCTGGCTGCAGTGAAGAAAGCCAAGTCCGGAACCACACTGGTGAGCGACCCGGGTGGGGCCGGACTTCAGAGATGGGAGTGCAGGGAGCCGGGAGCCCTGTGGAGGAGGCGGGGTGGGTGCTGGCCCCCAGGGGCACCCCACTGCTCATTCCCTCGAAGAGCAGTGAATACAGGGCACCAGGTGCCAGGCTGGGGCATGAGGACTGGGATGCAGATGGGGAGACCCAGGAGATGGTGGTACCCTCCGGGGAAAGCAGATTGGCAGGCCTGGCCCATGGAGACCCTGCAGGGGGAGGCATCCCAGGTGAAAGGAGCCTGAGGGGGGCGTTGGAACAGGGTCGGAGGTCAGACCGGACCCTTGAACAGGGACCACACTTCCTGCTTCCCTGTTCCTGGGATTTATGTGTGTGCTTGGCCCAGAACTATGGCATGGGGGGAGGGGCAGAGAGGGGCCAGTCCCCTTGGGGTTGAACCCAGCTAGGGCAAATCCAGGTGGAGTGGAGGATGAAGGTAACCCCTGACCCAGAAGGTTTTGTGCTGTGTTTCCGCCCTCTCAGACATGTGGCAGTGACAGCGCCCGTTGCGTGTGGCTAGAGTGTCCCATTCTTGACACCTGGCTGGTCACCAGCGTGACTGTGAAGGCACGTGTGTGGAACAGCACCTTCATCGAGGTCAGTGCCCGGAGCTGGTGTCTCTGCTGCTGCCTGCCCCAGGGGCAGGGGCGGCAAGTCGTGAGGAGGGGGCAGGCAGTGTCCCAGGCATGTGCTTGCATGTGCATACGTGGCAGGGACACATGGGATTCTCTGTGAGATAACTCACCCACCTGCCACCGTGGTGAGGGTCTTCGGAGTCTGCCTGACAGTGGGTGGACATGACCTGACCTTTGTCTCTAGCTCCAAGTGACCACTCAAGGGCTTGCCTCGTGTTGCCTGTTTATGGCTGTCCCTCCTCCATGCCTCTCTGTCCCCTGCATCATCCCTGCGGGTACACACCTGGTCAGCCTGTGGCATCTCCCTTAGACTTTCCTGGCTGAAAATGGCCTGTCTTTCCCTGAGGACACACAGGACTTCCTCAGAAGTCACTCAGCCACTCACCACCCTCTCGGGACACGCCAGCCTTCTCCCCCTGGCCCCGCTGGCGGCGGCAAGGATTGTAAATCTTGTCTTTTGGGCGGGCCAGAAGGTTTCTGTTGCCCAGGCCATGGTAGGACAGAGTAACCCCACGCCTGTGAGTGGGCATACTGTAGACTGTCCCCACCATTGGGCAAGGACCTGGACACAAAGGGAACCACCAAGCCCGCGTGCCTGTGTGTGGTGTGGAGGCCTTTCCGAGCTGCTGAATGGGATTGGGGGGGGGGGGGTGGCGGGGGGGGCATGCCTGGGGTCAGCGGGATGCCCAGTGGGGCCTCATCGACTGCTCTGGACCCCACTCTCCCTGCAGGATTACAGAGGCTTTGACAGAGTTACTGTTGCCAGCACAGCCACGCTCTTCCTGCGCACCAGTACCCGCACCATCACCATGGAGAACAAGACGGTGGCGGTGAGTAGGTGCTGCGAGCCCCTGGGGTGTGTGTTCAGCGAGGGGGGGCGAGGGCGGTGCTCCTGGGTTCTGTGCCCTGAGAGCTGCATCTGTGGAACTCTGGAATCGAGGTGTTTAAAGGCACCCCCACCAGTGCCCTGCCCTGTGAGGTTGTCTCTGCCTCATCCCTGGATGTCCCACCACCTACAAAGGTGAAAACAGCAGGTAGGGCATTTCCCTTGTGTGAGGCTCACCCAGATTCGATCCCTGGCATCCCATATTGTCCCCAGAGCATCACTAGGAGTAATTCCTGAGTGCAGAGCCAGGAGTAACCCACAGCATGACTGCATATGGCCCAAAAAGGAAGGAAGGAAGAAAGGAGGAAAGGAGGGAGGGAGGAAGGGAGGGAGGGAGGGAGGGAGGGAGGAAGAATGTGAGGAAGAAAGGAGGGGTGGAGGAAGGGAAGGAGGGAAAAAAGAAGGAAGGAAATTGAAAGCAAGTTCCAAAACTTGAGGAACAGAAGTATAGTGTGGAGGACACTTGCCTTGCATACAGTTCACCTGGGTTCCATCTCCCACATCCCTGCATCCCCCTGTGGTCCCCTGATCCCACCAGGAGTGATCCCTGAGTGCAGAGCAAGGAGTAAAGCACTTGCTGGGTGTGGCTCCAAAACAAAACAAAAGCAGACTTGATGAGTTGTGTGTAGAAAAACCAGGGTGACTACCTGCCTGGTATTTGTGTGAAAAGGGATGTCAGTGGAGAATCGCAGGCGACATTGGAGAGCAGGTCAAATACTAAAATGGTTTCCTAAAATTGGTCTGAAAGACCAATGGAACTGAATAAAAATTCACTTATGAGACAGATTTTTTTTTTTTTGCTTTTTGGGTCACACCCGGCGATGCTCAGGGGTTACTCCTGGCTCATGCACTCAGGAATTGCTCCTGGCGTTGCTCAGGGGACCATATGGGGTGCTGGGAATCGAACCTGTGTCGGCCATGTTGGCTGCGTACAAGGCAAACGCCCTACCCGCTGTGCTATCGCTTCAGCCCAGAGACAGATGGTTTTTTTAATGAGTTGAGGAAAGTTAGATTATTAGGTAGTATTGTAAAAACACATTTGGAAAATGAAGACAAACTCTACCTCAATCCATAAACAATACATTTAAGTTACAGGAAATATTCAAATATTAAAAAATAAAACTAGGGGCTGGAGCGATAGCACAGCCGGTAGGGCGTTTGCCTTGCACGCAGCCAACATGGGCAACACAGGTTCAATTCCCAGCATCCCATATGGTCCCCCAAGCACTGCCAGGAGTGATTCCTGAGTGCATGAGCCAGGAGTAACCCCTGAGCGTCGCCAGGTGTGACCCAAAAAGCAAAAAAATAAATTAATTAAATAAAACTAATATGCCAGAAGAAAAATATGGAAAATTATAATAATCTCTGTGGTAAAAGGGAATTATGTTCTTAAACTAGGAAGTTAGGGCAAAGGGGCAGCATATCGAGAAGGACTCTTGTCTTGCCAGCCTGGGGTTTCATCCCCATATGGTCCCCCAAACCCTGTTGGGAATGACCTCTGAGCACAGAGCCAGGAGTAAGTACTGAGCATCACTGGGTATGGCTCCAAAATAAAAATAAATTAGAAAAAACTCAGAAGTCACAGGAAAAATTGGAAAGAAAATTGACTATATGAATTTTACTTCCATTAAAAAAAAAGTTATGTTGGGGCCACTGGGCCCCTCCTGCCTATATCCTGTGGGTTTGGGGGGCTGGGGACTGAGGCGAGGACTTATGCTACGAAACATGCTCCCCCCCACCTGAGTTTTCTCCTTGGCCCACTAGTTCACTTAGATGAAATGTTGAATCTGTATACAGAAAAATGTGTATGGTAAAGAAAGTAACAGGGTCAAGAGTGTGTTGGTCTTTTTAAAGGTGATAGATAGCACAGGGGCCTGTGTGATGGTACAGGGGGGAGGCGTTTGCCTTGCACACTGCTGACCTGAGTTCAATCCCTAGCATCCCATATGGTCCCCCGAGCACGACCAGGAGTGATTCCTGAGTGCAGAGCCAGGAGTGAGCCCTGAGCATTGCTAGGTTTGACTCCAAAACAAAACCCAAAAGTTTAAATCATAAAAGTTTAAAGCATATCTGACCAACCTATCTTGGTATATTTCTGTAAAGAGAAAAAGGAGAGGCCAGAGAAATAATATAGGAGTGAAGTTGTTTGCATGAAGACAGATGATCCCAATTCACTCCTTCCCTGGTACCACAGATGATCCCCTGAGCACAAATAGCCCCTGATCTGCGGTGTGTGGCCCCAACCCACCCCCACAAAGAGATAAAGAGAAGCATAAATAGGCTGTGTCTCTAGGGAGAAATAAAAGTACTTGAGTCAAGAGGAAAGAAATAAAAATAACATCAAGATTTTTTTCTTGCCAGATTAGAAAATATTAAAAAGAATAATGCTATCCGGTTCTGATGAGGCTGGAGAAAATGCTATTGATTAGAGTATAAGTTGATAGATTATTTTTGGAGACAAATTTGTCAATATCTATTAAAATTTTAAATGCCCATTTCCTTTGATCCAGCACCTACAGGAGTTAATTGGACAGCTATGCAGAGATAAATATATGGGGCCATTTAAAAGTTTCATTTATAGTGATATAAAGCTGGAATCATTCTAACTGCCTTTCTGCGGGTTTCAATAAATTATGATACATTTCCTACCATGGCTGCACAGTCCTCAGAAGAGAGTAGGTTGATCTTTATAAGCTGACACTGAAAGATGGAATGAAGTGCTAGAGGAAGCAGGCCATAGGGGAGTGTGCGGGTCACAAAAGCGCACTGAGGTGGGAGAAATAGATTGATGTTTGGAGCCAGAGCCATAGTACGGCGGGGAGAGTGATTGCCTTGCACACTGCTGACCGGGTTCGATCCCCGGCATCCCAGATGGCCCCCTGAGTGATTCCTGAGTGCAGAGCCAGGAATAACCTCTGAGCATCACAGGGTGTAACCCAAAAAGCCAAAAATAAAGAAAAATAGATGTTTAACATATGCGCTAAAAGGATAATGACCCAAGAGAAGACTTAGCGGACTGGAGAACATGCTTTGCGCGCAGGAGGTCCAGGTTAGAGCCCCAGGACGATGGTTCTCCAAGCGGCAGAGGGACCGACCTCTAAGCTCTGACCTGGGGGTTGCCCCTGCGCAGCACCACAGGGGGGGGCCTAAAACCAGCTTATGTTGTATATGTGTGTGCATGCATACATACATATAGAAAAGAGATTCACCAAGATGTCAAACGTAGTTATTTCTAGGGATTAAAATTACTGGGAATCTTTAAATCATCTTTAGCTTTAAAATCATCAAAATGGGGGCCAGGGCTCTGGCTTAAGCAGTACAATGCACGTAATAGTAAGTGTAAGGCCCTGAGTTCAGTCCTTGCCACCTCCTGCCCCAACTCCCAATACTGCAGGTTAGGACCCTAATGGCCCCTGACTACCACGGGAAGTGGCCCTAGTGGCCCCCAAGCACTAAAGGGAGTGGGTGGTCTCTTTAAAGAGAGCACAAAAAAATAATTTTAAAAGAGGAACCAAAGAGGTGGCACCGTTGATAGGATGCTTGCCTTGCATGCAGCTGACCTGGGTTTAGTCCATGGCATCCTGTGTGGTCCTCCAAGCCTCATCAGCAGTGATTCCTAAATGCAGAGCCAGGAGTATGGTCTCTGAGCATCACCTGGTATTGCAAAAAAAAGTTTTGATCCGAAGGATTTTTTCCCTACATGTAAAATATGATATGCAAAAAAAAAGTTAAAAAATATTTGTGTATATATAGTACAGCAGGTAGGGTGTTTGTATGTATACATACATACATACATACATACATACATACCTCCCCTATAGGAAAAGAAGTATATAGAATATGTGATGCATTCTTTGTTTTTGTTCTGGTTTTTGTAAATATGGAATGCTTACTCTGTACCACACGCTGCTCAAGGTAGTTTACTCCCATTATGGTCACGGTCACAGTCCTCCCGTTGTTCATCGATTTGCTCTAGTGGGACCAGTAATGTCTCCATTTTGAGACTTGTTGCTGTGTTTGGCATATCCAGTACATCACGGGTAGCTTGCCAGGCTTTGCCATGCAGGCGAGATACTCTCGGTAGTCTAGTCCCATTAAACACATTAAATCCTCTTCAGAAATCTAGGAGGTAGGCTTTTGTTGTTCTGGTTTATTTTTTGCCACTCCCAGTGATGCTGGGCAGGGAAGGGAGCTACTCCTGGCTCTGTGTTTGGGGGTCAGCGGTTGCTCCCACTGGTGGCAGGGATCGAACCCGAGCTTCCTACACTCAGCGCATCGAGCTTTCCCTGGCCCATCAGGTAGGTTTTTTATTTCATTGTTTTTATGCTTTGGGCCATATCTGGCAATTGCTCAGGGCATACTCCTCACTCTGTATTCAAGGATCATTGCTGGCAAGGCTTGGGGGACTTTATGGGATGTCGAGATAAAATCCAGGTCGGATGCATGCAATGCAAATGTCCTACCTGCTGTCCCATTTGTCCAACTCCAGGTTTTTGTTTCTTTGATTACAATTCCCACTTCAGAGATTAACAACAGAGAGGTTAAATAACTTCTCCAAGGCAACACACAGCTAGTGTTCTCACACACACACACGTACACACACACACACACATGCCTTTTGGGTAATATCTGGCTATGCTCAGGGGTTACTCCTGGCTCTGCACTCAGGAATTACTCCTGGTGGTGCTTGGGGGACCGTATGGGATGCTGGAGACAAGGCAAATGCTTTATTTGTGCTGTTGCTCCAGCCCCACACCCACGCTTTTGACCACTCTGCTAACAGTCCCGTCTCAGAGAGCATGAGATGGAAAAGTGCAATCGGTTGTTTAGGATCCCACAGCTCTCAGGGATGGAGCTGGTACCCAAACCTGAATGTGTGGGTTCAGAAACCCAGACTCCAGGCCGTCTCCCAGAAAAGATGAGGCTGCTTTTTGCTAGGTTGAGATGGGATGGGAGAGGGCGGGCTTTTCTCAGTCCCCGAGCGCCCCCTAAGGTCAGTGGACGGAACAACAGGGTCCTGGCAGAGAGTGGCAGGCTAAGCCCGCTGACCCCTTCCTCCCCACCTTCAGTTCTCCGTGGACATTGACTCCGAGCTGCATGAGGAGCTGCCCCCGGAAATCGAGCTCTGGGTGGTGCTTCTGGCCATCAGCGTCGGGCTGGTGGTGCTCGGGCTGATCATCATCTTGCTATGGAAGGTTCGAACCCAAGCCCCGCCCCCCACCAGGACCCCCTTCTCCTGCCCACCATCCCACTCCTCACGTCCATCTCACCCCGCCCTCCCGCATGCCCTCCCCCTTCCTTCCCAGCTTCCAGGGTCACCCCGTGTCCCAGCTTCACCTCCCTCACTCAACCAGGTGCTCCCACCGGGATGCGGTGGGAGGTGGGGGGGGGGGCGGGGTGGCAGCAGCAAACCGAAGAGGGGACCGCAGGACCACACCACCAAGCAGCGGCTGGGGCTCAGCACCGGGGCGCCCTGCCCCACCCCTCGGCTGCCCCTGACGGCCCCTCCCACCTGCTCCCCTCCGCAGTGCGGCTTCTTCAAGCGAGCCCGCACTCGCGCCCTGTATGAAGCCAAGAGGCAGAAGGCGGAGGTGAAGAGCCAGCCGTCAGAAACAGAGAGGCTGACCGACGACTACTGAGGGGCAGCCCCCACCCCCGGCCCACCCGGGTAACGCGGCCCCCAGGGCCCCTCTCCTCCCGCCCCGCAGCTGCGGGGCGCCTCTGATTCTCCTGTCTCCTCCTTTTCCACGAGGTGCCTCTGCACCTCACTGGGTCCCCAGCAGCATCCCTGCCAGGGCCGACCACTCTCTGTGCCGCCCCCTCCGCGGCCTGGGAGTCGTCAGCTCCTCCGCGTGTCCCCAAGCTTGGTAGAGATTGGAAAAGGGTCCACGCCTAGGCTTGGCTCCATCTCTGTGGGCCCCAAGGCAAAGTTCCAGAAGGGTACCCCCTTCCCTGTCCGCACCTGAGGGAAGGAGCAGGTCCTGAGCCCTTCTGCCGGGACGCCACGTTCCTTCTGGGCATGCTGGGGGTGACATCCCCCAACACACACACACACAAACACACACACACACACACTCACACAACATCACCATTGGGTCAAGCCATCCCATCCACATTCTGCCTCTCCGTCTCCATGTCCTCCTTGTTCCTCTCTGCCTTCTGCCTTCCTCCTCTGGGGAGGGAACCACACCCTACAGGGAGAGACTCGCCGTCCCCCTGCCACTAACTGCCTTCCTCCTCTCCCCCCACCTCCAGTGCAACTTCTTTAAGCGGACTCTGTACTACCAGATCATGCCCAAGTACCACGCGGTGCGGATCCGTGAGGAGGAGCGCTACCCGCCTCCGGGAGGCACCCTGCCCTCCAAGAAGCACTGGGTGACCAGCTGGCAGGGCTGGGACCCGTACTACTGATGTCCTCCTCGGTCCCGTCCCTGCCTCCACCCCCCCCCCATGACCCTTTCTTCTATTTATCGTAAACGATGCCCACGACGGTGCACGAGATGCCACTGCCTGTGGCTGGTGCTGCCTGGCCACGGGCTTCTTCCCCCGGACCTCACAGTGCTGGGGACACCGTGCCCTGGACACGGGGACCCCGCTGCTCGTGGACTATGCTTGTGTGGACAGTACAGAGGCATGTCCTGCAGCCTCTGCCTGTGCCTGAGTCAAGCCCAAGGACCTCCCCCGGAGCCAGGAGGAAAAGGCCCCAACACTCGGTGACCCTCCCTTGTTCACACTGGACCCTCGAGCCACAGTCACTGGACTGACTCTGCCCTCGAGATGCAAACTACTGACAGGGACATGCGCTTCCCCACCCCCCACCCCCAGGCTCCCGGCTGCAACTCAGTACCCATGCTGAGTGCAGGGGGCCCCTGCCTGAGGTGGTCCCAGGGGACATTTGCACGTCCTTCTATGCTCAGACTCACGCACAGAATGAACTAGAAAGTCCCCAGGAAGGCTTCCTTCCACAGCGCGCTGCGCATAGCCTCTTCCCCAGTGCAGCCGGAAGGAGCCAGGGGACCAGCTGCTGGACACGCTGTGCACGGACAGACAGACGGGTCCTCTGCAGAGGGGACCAAGCTGGGCTGAGGAGATGTTGCAAAGAGGGGAGACCACTTCTCTCTCACCGCTGCCTCCCCAGCCCCCAGAGGCCCGGAGAGACACCCCCATGCCCCACCCCCAGCCCCCTTCGAAATCACAGAGGGAGCGACGCTTGAATGTAGAAGGGAGAGGGAAGCCCATTCCTGCCCCAGCCAGCCGAACCACCTCTGCGCCCCCTGACCATGGGCCGGGAAGTGGAAAGAGGCTCTTCGTGGCTATCACTGGCTCGGCCTCCTCTGCCATGGACTGAACCCCGAGGCCCATTCTAGAAGTTCAGGCTGGTCCCAGAGAACCCCTGCTGACCCTTGCCTTCCGGGGCCCCTTCCCCATGCCCCCTTCCATGGTACTGTATCAGGGGAGCTCCTCCCCCTCCTCGTGCCTTCTTTGTATATAGGCTTCTCATGGCACCAATAAACAGCTCCCGTTTGTATGCCTGCCTCCTCCCCAGCCCCACGGCAGGTGGGTAGTAATTGTGTCGACTAGCTGCCCCCTCAGGAAGACAAAGTGAGGGGTGCAGGGTGTTGCAGGTGACAAGTGGAAACCTCTAGGCAGGGGAGTGTTCTGTGAACTCAGGGATGCCCCCCGTTAAGGCATGGCTACAAACAGAACCGATCCAGAACCTCGGGGGAGGGAGAGGCTCAGAGAGGGACAGAATCGCAAAGGCTTGTTGGAGGCCAGCGTGGTGGCCCTGAGGAGGGAGGTGAGGGTAGGGTTGTGGTGCCCAGGCTCCAAGAAGGGCAGGAAGTGATCATCTTAGATAAAGGTGCAGGGAGTTCGGGTGTAAGGGTGGAGAGACCCTTGCAGAGATGAGCTCCGCCAGGCACCGTGATTTCCCACCCCCACCTGCACCCCTAAGCAACATGTCATCAGTCCAAAGGTGAAGCAGTGACCCAAGACTGGCAAGACAGTTTTTTTTTTTTTTTGCCAGCATCAGCAGGAATGCCAGGGCCTGGTCTGGAACAGCTGCTCCCGCAGTGCTCAGTGCTAAGTCTTTAGCTCCCAGCAGTGCTTCAGGCCCCCTGCTCCCTCCACTGTACCGGCCTAGGGGACTGGAGCGAGGCCGCCCTCCCCAGGGCCCATCCTAAACTAAGTACAGGCCCTTCTGTGAACTGTCCCCAAGGCTGAGCCCTTTGGCAGACTCCACTGAAGTCTGGAAATGATTGCCAGTAAAAGCCTCGAAGCAGATTGTCCCTCCAGTCCAGTGTCACTGAGAGCCACCACCCCCCCAGGCCCACACTGTTCCCCTTCCAGTGCTCACTCTGTGTCGCTCTGCCTTCCCGGAGGCCACACACATGTACACACTGTCCCCCCCACACACACACCTTGTTCCTTTCTTTTCCATGCTGGGGTTTGCCCCTTCTTTGACAGATGAACAAGGGGAGTGCCCTATTCCTTCAGCAAGACAGCCCCCATCCAAAACTCTGAGTCCCCATTATTCACTGAGTCTGGAGATATTTCCAGCTATTCCCACATATTGTCAAAGTTCAGCAGAGGTTGGCCTTAAATGTGGCTCTAGCAGTTGAGTGTCAGCCTTTCGTGTGTGTAGTCCCGGGTTCCATTCCCAGCCCCGCAAGAAGAAAAATATGACAAGGTTCGGCTCGGGGTGAACGGAGCTTCATACCCTCTCAGCCCTCTTCTTTGCAACCGCTTCCCACTAAAGGAAAAAGTGTGATCTTCGTATCTTCATATCCCTCCCATCAATCTTCAGTGTTGTATGTAATTGTGAGTATGTGTGTGTGCATGAGGGTGAGAACACACAGTAGTCCGCAGCCCAGACACACACACCTGAGGATAAGTCGCCATTTTCCATTCTGGAGCACCTATAAGCAAGCATTAGTGACTGCATCTTGTTCGCATACACTTCTTACAGCTTCTCATTCCCCTTGGTCTGTTTCTTAGTTAAAGGAGTATTTTTGTACATAGCCTATTAACAGTGTGAAAACAGGAGTTGGTCATGGCCATGGAGGAATGGGAGAGAACAATCACTAGGTTCTTGGGAAAGAAAGCTCAGGAGGCTGTCGCACGAGGCTCTCGGAGGCAGAAATGACTTCCAAGCCTTTACCAGAAGCCAATCAACCTCACCTGCCTGCCACAGGACTGGTTTTTTTCCCCCGACCCACTTTCCAACCACCCTATTATTCCCCTCTAGAAACCCCAATCCCCAGACTAGAAGTTATGGGATTTGTTTTTTAAACCATAACTACATCTTCTCAGGATGCTGGCATCTGAAGGAATTTGTTGGGTCTCTCACACTGACTCTTGCCTCTCAGATATTGGACTTTGAGTAACATGCATCCAGATTTTGGATTTGGTAACAGATTTTGGCAAGCCTGCCAGGAGGGGCTGTGTACGCCAGCACTGGGAGCAGAGACAGCTGTTTGACCTGTGGTGAGCAGACCCATGGGTGAAATTTTTGGTACTCCCAAAACACATTTGTCTTGGAAACTCTCCCTCTTCTTCCCTTCATGGCACTAGCTTCCTTGAGCATGTTGTTAGTGAAGAAAAATGGTTTTAGTTGAGAAATAGTCAATGTACTTCAAGACTGGGTAAGTCCCTGGCCTGGCTCTTTGGGGGTTTTAACTATTGAGGCTCTCCTGTCACTTCCAGACCCAAGTAGGCCTGGGACATGATTTTGATCCCTCTACCTGTCTTCTTGGTAGGAGGATTTAAAAGAACTCTATTGGAATCTGGATTTAGTCTTGTTTTTTGTTTCTTTATTTTGCTGTAGCTATGGAGGATTCATACTAAATAACTACATTCACTGTCACTGTCCTCCCGTTGTTCATCAACTTGCTCAAGCAGGCCCAGTAACATCTCCATTGTGAGACTTGTTACTGTGTTTAGCATATCGAATACATCACGGATAGCTTGCCAGGCTTTGCCGTGGGGGCGAGATACTCTCGGTAGCTTGCCGGGCTCTCCAACAGGGGCGGAGGAATCAAACTCGGATCGGCCATGTTGGCTGCGTCCAAGGCAAACGCCCTACCGCTGTGCTATTGCTCCAGCCCATAACTACATTATTACCAGTATTACCAGTACACTGAAGCTTCCTAGTTGATTAAACCATAGACAATTGTGACTCTATGAAAAAAAAAAACCTTTCTACTGGGGCTAGAGTGATAGTATAGCAGGTCAATCCCCGTCATTCCATATGGTATCCTGAACCCACCAGGAGTGTCCCTGAGCAGAGAACCAGGAGTAAGCTCTGAGCACCCCCGGGCATGACCCCAAAACAAACTGAGAAAAACAACCAAACCTTTTCTCTTGGTGTTGGAGAGATAACTAGTACAGGGGTTAGGTGTTTGCTTTGCAGATTCTATCCCTGGCATCTCATATGGTCCACTGTGGCAGGAGTAATTCCCAAGTACAGAGCCAGTAGCAACCCCTGAGCATCACCAGGTGTAGCTCAAAAAACACAAAAGACAAAAGAAAAAAAAAGGGATGATGAGGGGAAGGAAAAAAGAAAGGAAAGGAGAAAGGAAAAAGGAAAGGAAAGAAACCTTTTGGGCTGCATGGGATAATCTGAAAACCTGCATCTACGGGACTTGGAAGTCCTTCACTAGGAAATTTCCCTTTTCATTGGATGGGCAGGACCTGGAGAGACTCGCTGCTTGTGTGCATAGATAAGGGAGGAAATTTATATAATTAAAACTTTAAGAGAAAAATAAAGAGACCTGTGTCTGTATGTGTGCCTACCACACTTACACTTGGCCTCTGGGTGAATTAATTTAGCATAATATTTACTAAAAATTAATTTAAAAGTTTAAATTAGGGCATGCATGTCCTTAAAATTATAATATTGGGCATAAGATTATAATATTCAACTTATGTTTGTTTGACCAAAAATCAATTTACGTTTCCTGACTGGAGAAATAACTGATGTTGTTTTGACTGCATTTTTTTTCTTTTTTAAATTTTTTTATTAGTGAAACACCATGAGGTACAGTTATAGACTTACAAATTTTTGTGCTTGGGTTTCAGTTATACAATGATCAAGTACCCATCCCTCCACCAGTGCTCATCCTCCACCACCACGGGTCCCAGCATCCCCCCCACCCCCCACCCCCCGTTCCACCCTGCCTCTGTGGCAGGGTATTCCCCCTTGTTCTCTCTCTCTCTCTTCTTTTGGGTACTGTGTTTTGCAAGAGAGGCATTGAGTGGCAATCATGTTTGGTCTATAGATTACTTTTAGCTTGCTTCTCCCACCCTGGGAGGGTCCTCACAACATCCTTTATTTGGTGTTCTCTTCTCTATCTGAGCTTCCTTTTCACCTAGCACATGTGGCTGGCCTTCGAGTCATGGAGCAAAATTCCTGGTACTAATCTCAGCCATTCCTGGGTGTTAGTCTCCCTTTTTGTTGCTTTATGTTCCCCAGATGAATGCAATCTTTCTGTGTCTATCCCGCTCTTTCTGACTCATTTCGCTTAACATGATACTTTCCATGTAGTACCACTTGTATGTAAATTTCATGACTTCGTCTTTTCTAACAGCTACATAGTACTCCATTGTGTAAATGTACCAAAGTTTCTTTAACCTTGACTGCATTTTTTAATGATGAAGATTCATTGAATATCTGGGCCTTTTGGGGGGATTTCTTTTGCAGGGAGTGGTTCTTAGGCCACACCCAACTACACATTCGGTTCTCTGAGCTTTGCCAGAAGAGATCTCAGAGCACAGTCAGGAGTAAGCTCTGAGAATAGAATTGTGGCCCAAACAAC